CAGTATCTCACAGGACAGGAGCAGACCAACTCTGTGTCTGCCCCAGCCCAAAGGACCAGGCAGGGGCGGAAGGGCTTGAGACTCCTTTTTAAGGTGACTCTGGGCTGTGTCAAATTGACAATGCTAACTAGAACACAAGGTCAACTCCAATTTAGCTTATCTCTTATGAGTTTTAAAGCTTCACACTTTACATTTAAATCTAGAATCCACTGACTTAATTATAAAATGTATAAAACCTGTGTCTAGAAAACTTCTTTCAGTCCCTCTTCTTTGTTTAACTCAGACCTCATTCACCCTGCCTGTCTCTTCCTTCACCAGGAGGTGTTTCAGCCTTGTACTGTAACCTCTCCAGCTCCCAACTTCTCCCCTGCTCTAGGAAGGTGTTCTTGGATCCACAAAGCAAGGTGGCTCCTCAGGCTGCCACCATGTATCTAGCCAGCATGTATCATAAACCCCTTTTGTTTGGGCCTCACTTATTCTCTCTTAGTCTCCCACCTGACTGGGAAACTGCTTTGAAAAGTGCTTGTCTATAGGGCTGTACTGGTGAAAGAACCAGTTTTCCTACTCAGCAGGGGCTTCTTAAGAGATTTGGTCATAGTTCCTGGGGTGAGTCTCCCAGATTCTATCCTGAGTTCAGCTACATGCTAGTTTATATATGTTTTCCTAATCTCTCCTTTATTCTAGCCTCCTCTCCTTCAGTCCCTCCTGCATCTTCCTTAATGTCTTCCTCAGCATCTCCCTTGAATCTCTCTTGAGCCCCAACTTCCCAGAAATCTCTCTATCCCAGCTGGATTTCCTACCTCCTATTTCCTGCCTCAGCTCATTGGCCATAAGCTTTTTATTGCCAGGTGATAAAAGATATCCTCTTTCCCTCTCCCTCTCCCTCTCCCTCTTTTTTCCTCTCTCTCTCTCTCTCCTTCTCTCTTTCCCTCCACTTTCTCCCTCTTCCTCCCCCTCCATCACTCCCTCCCCCTCTCCCTTTCCTTTCTTCTTCCTTTTATAACCCAATGAATGTAATTTGCACTACCCACATACTCATGGGTTTAGGATTATCCACATCAATAAAGAAAACTGCCTCTCCCCCAAAAGCCATTAATAGCCCCACTCCATGCTAGAATGTCAATTGGCTTGATATTGTGCTGATCATATGTATGCAACCATAGCTACTGTGAGTTCATGAATAAACAGTTCTGCCATATCAAGACAACATTGTTTTCCTATTTTCATTCCTGACTTCCGCCTCCTCTTCCATGATGGCCCCTGGGGCAGTGGGGTGATAGTGATGGCATTTGCTTTTGTTTGGGGAATTTTAAGGGTAGTATTTTTTTCTTTTTTCTTTTTACCTATTCTCCTCTCATACAATACATCCCAACTGCAGGCTCCCCTCCCTCCACTCCTCTCAGTCCTCACCACCACCTCTCCTCTCCCCCAGATTCACTGCAACTCTATTCCCCTTCAGAAAACAGCATGGCTCTCAGGGATAACAACCAACCATGGCAAAACACGATGCAATAAGACTAGGCTCTAGCCCTCTTTTCCTCCCCCGCCTGATCCCTCCTACTCCCATGCCCGCCTGCCCCAAGCCCACCTGCAAAATATATTCTATTTCCCCTTCCCAAGGGGATCCATGTTGAGCCCTCCTTGCTACTTACCCTCTCTGGGTCTGTGGATTGTGGTATGATTATCCTTTACTTACCAGCTAATATCCACTTGTAAGTGACTACATACCATGTTTGTCTTTGTGCATCTGAGTTGCCTCCCTCAGGATGATTTTCTAGTGCTGCCATTTGGCTATAAATTCCATATTGTCATTTTTTTCCTAGTAATGTACCACATTTTCTTTATCCATTCTTTGGTTGAGGGTCACTGAGTGTTGTGGGGAAGGGACGTCCCATTTGTGGCTGAGCATTCCACTCACATTTATTCTCTGCTCTTTGGCCAGTTGTCTGCCCCTCTCTTTTTTGATTTTAGCTTATTAATGTGCATGGGTATTTTATCTGCTTCTGTGCTTTATGCATTTGGAGGCAAGAAGAGGATATGAAATCCCTTGAAACTGGAGTTATAGATGGTTGTGAGCTACTATATGGGTGCTAGGAACAGAATCTGGACCCTCTAAAACAGCCGTAAGTGCTCTTAACAGCTAAGCCATCTCTTTAGTCCTTCCTCTCCTTTTAGAAGCCTATCAATAACAGAACTTTTTTCATTTTTTCTAAGCTTTCCTAGAATTGCCAACAAGAAAAACATAAGTCTACTTCAAAAGTTAATTTGTTACTTTACAGATCATGTGGAAATGCTTATGCTAAGAATTCCTAATTATTATCCTGGTTTTATGTACTCTTGCTTGTACATAAAGTATCATTAGGTAAATTGTTGCAAATATTTGGATAAACTATTAGGTTAAATAAATTAAGAACAATAAATTTTTAATTTTGCCTCCACTGATCCATTCTCAGTTTTTATGAAATACTCAGTTTTTTATGCAGATTTCATCTTCTGGCCTATGTCATCATTATTCTTTTTTTTTCTTCTCATTTTTCTTTTTTCTTTAAAAAAAAAATGAACAAACAAAAATCCCGAAGCAAAACCCTTTTAGGTGTAGATACAAATATTTTAGGCATCAGGGAGGGGACCCTATAACAGAAAAGCACCCCATGATGTTTTTCTCATCTTCTCTCCACTGAAGGAGACAGCCAGTATACCTACGTTAGACAGTCATGTCCTTTTCACTTGGAAAAAGGAGGAACCAAACATGTAGGAACTTTGAACAGATTTTGTGTGTGTATGAGAGAGTGTATAAAAGTCAAGGCTATAAATCTAAACAAGGTCTATTTTTATGTTTGTTTGTTTTTAAAAAAATTCTAAAACAACAGGAAAAAAAACACACGGAAAGAAACCCCTGGTGGAGACCTGGTTAATTGTGGAAGAGATGCCCTTTGTAAAGAGAATATAAAATGCACTGGGCCCCTTCCCCAGGCAGGCAGGACCTGTTCCGGCTGCCTCCGCTCACCCTCTCAGCCACCTGCTCTGCTCCCATGCCCCGTCACCCTTCTGCAATCGTTTTAAAAATTAAAACCCCCGCTCTTGTGACGTCACATTGATCTGCCTCCTGCCCCGCTGGAGAGAGCTACTTGGTGTCCAGTTTGGCCATCTCCTGCACATAGATGCCAATGCTCTCACTGTCGAAGAGCAGGAAGTACACGTTCTTCAGCGAGGATGAGCTCGAGTCGTCGAAGTGGGCAGAGATGGCCTTGAGGGTCACCTGGGCGGCCATCTGTTTGGGAAAGCAGTTTCTGCCACTGGGGAACGGTGGGAAGGCGACGGATTTAAGCTTCTTGTCCTCAGCTGCAGACAGGCAGTTTTTGATGGTCTCTTCCAGCAGTTCTTCACATTTGTTGGAGCCGCAATGGGGGATGTGACAATGGATGACAAACTTGGCTGCGAGTCCACTGGATTGGCTGACGGCAGCTTCAGCAACTTCCAAAGGGCCTTGGGACTTGCGAAGCTACTTTACTGTTTCCAAGAACTCTTTTCCCCCAGCCTTTTCCAAGGCTTTACTTATCTCTTCCTTGAGGTCGATTTCAGCTGTGGTTGAGTGGACGATGCCCTCCACCCTCATGGAGCCAATATGGCTTTTGTCACTCTGGGTCAGGGACAGCTTCTGCCCCAGAACAAGGCTCTTCGAAGACAGGATGGTGAAGCCATCCCCTGGCCCATCTTCGGAGGTGGAATTTGATGTTCCTTCTTTATCGCTGTCCTTCGCTTTGTACTTCTTGGACTCCGTGGCTTGGTGGCCTTGGATTTCTTACTCCCCTTCTTGCCTGATGCAGCCTTCCTTCCTCTTTTCTCTGGGGGCGGGGAGAGGATCTGACTTGCCTTTGGTCCCTCGCTTTTTGGCCAGCAGTTGGGGTGAATTCTCGGCAGGACACCCCCACTGGCGATAGTCACTCCTTTCAGCAGCTGGTTGAGCTCCTCATCCTTGGCAACGGCCGGCAGGATGTGTCTGGGGGCTATCCGGGCCTTCTTGTTATCCCTCGCAGCGTTCCCAGCCAACTCTAGTATTTCCGCTGCCAGGTACTTAACGACCGCGGCCATGTAGACGGGAGCACCCACGCTGATCCGGAACTTGAAGGTTCCTTTTTTCAGGTAGTGCATCAACCGCCTACCGGAAAGATGACACCGGCCCTGGCTGACCGGGACAGCTTGGACATTTTCTTCTTCCCACTCCGGCCTGACATCTTGCCTCAGTTTTCCTCTCAGCTTGCTGACAGAGTGATCTCTTGGCAGTTCTCCGGGCCTCGGATAGTAGTGGAGGTGGGGGGGAGAGGAGGAAGAGCCTCATCATTATTCTTATTGGAGAACTTCCTTTAACATTTCAGAGAAGACAGTTCTACTGCTGACGCATTCTCCCGATTCTCCTTTTTCCAATACAGTATCTCTGGTCAACTCTTAAGGACAATTTGCAAAGACCTAAATTGGTGGGTTCTTCCCTCCTAACACACTTATTACCTTCACTCTCCTCTTGTACAGTTTCCAAAAAGTCAGGCATCTTTACTCGTCTATAGATTTTTCTTGTTATAATAGATATCACAAACACACATACAGAGGCGGGGGAGACAGGCAGGGGCTGGGGAGGTACTTTTACAGCAATGCTTTTTATAAAAATAGTATACAATAAAATTTTTTCTATAAATTGGTATAAAGAGTCATATGTGGTAGTGCATCTGTAATCCCAACACTCCAGAGATAGAAGTAGGTAGATTAAGAGTTTGAAGACATCCTAAGATAGTAAGGTACATATACACCCTACATTAGTGCATGGACATCTTTAGTATAGATACCTGTTTTTTAGTTTCCTTTACTTTTACATACTGTTCCTTAGTTGACTTTTCCTTATTTCAAAGTGACAATCTTGCTATCACAAGCACAGTAAATATTCTGTGTAACTTTTTAACTTTTACATGTTGATAAAATACTCTTCTATAGGTAGGGTTGCTGAGTCAATGATTATATATTTTGTAAGTTTTAACACACACTGAAAAACTGTTACTCAAAACAGTTTAGTTGCTCAGTCCTTCCAACACTGTTTGGTGACTATTTATTCCTCCATATCACACAAGAATTTTAAAATCATTACCAACCTCAGGATAAATAAGGGATGTTTTGCTATAACTTGAATTTTTGTTACTTGTAAGGCTGAGTATTTTTCATGTTTATTAACCATTTTGTTTTTCCCTTAAGACTGTATAATTTTAATATACCTATCAAAAATAAAGATGAAAATAGAGAATAAAACACTGTTGACATTCTCAACCCTAGGTATTATTATCCAAGTTGTATGGTGCACACGGGACATTCTATTTTACTTCACATTCATCTGGTGAACACATCATTTGCTTAGAATCTAATTCTACACAGTTTGTGTCATTTGGAGGGAGTAAGTTGGTGAGTATATGCCTACGTATCCTGTTGTTGAGCACAAGATCACTATTCAACCATGGCATTGGTTACACTCAGACTGACTGGGAAATTATTTAAGTTATGTGTACAGATCTTGGTACAATAACCAAAGAGGGACTGGAGAGATTGGAAGGTGTTCAAAGGGAACCGTAAAGTTGATTAAAGGGTTTGAAAGATAATTGTTGTGAGGAAAGGTTAAAAGAGCTGTGATTACTCAGGCTTGAAAATAAGTGAGGGCTGAAGGGCAAATTAATAATGGAATTATAACAACAAAAACTCTTACACAGTACATGAGTGATTCACTATTTTCAAATGTGTTAAGAACAGCTGAAAAGCATTTGTACAGAATACAAAATTCAGTTAGATATAAAGAGAAACTTCCCTAGAGCAATAATAAATTTCTCAACACCAGAGGCACTGCATGACAATAAATTTGATGTTCATGAAGGTATAAATATATGTTAAGGTCAATGGGTTGCCACAAAATTAATTGTTATTTTAAAATACAATTAATTTTGTGACTATTGAGTGATATTGAGTGAAAGACTATTGAGTGATAGTGTGGGCAAAAAAAAAAAATCAAGAAGGTGCAGCATCTCACTCATGAAAAGGAGTGACAGAGACCAAGAAGACAACAGCAAAAAGAGAAAGGGAAGGAAAAGACTACAGCTAATTTATTTCAAGCATGAAAAGGTTTGTTTCCTCCTTTTTACTGTTTGTACAGCGCATCCACTTAGATATTCGAGTTGGAGAACATGACCTCGATGCAGCTATTGTTCAAGCAAAGGACAAAGTTAATGAAGTAACCTTCAAGCTTCAACATCTAATTGAACAAATGGAGCAAATACTCAAAGAACAAGACTATCAAAGGGTCGGTCTGTCTATTCAGCTTAGTTTATCTCTTCTTGTCAAAAATTCATTTCTCAACATTTTGAACCAAGGAAAAAAAAAACACACTGCCTGTCCCTCAGTCTTTCTAAGCTAGAACTATGTGGGTGTGAAAGGAGTGGGGAGAGAGTAATCTTTCTTCACTCTGCTGGCCCATGAGTTCCTTTAGAAAAGGGAATTGAGGCTCCTTTGCTTCCTCATCCAAAGTTACTAGCCAAGTGTTCATTCATCCAGTAACAAAGGATGTGAACTTACAAAGCAAAGGAATGCTTCCAGACAAGTTCCACACACTCGTAGAGAGCCAAGGATGTGCACATTTGGGATCTCAGTTTTAATCTTAGGACATCAAGTGTTTTCTGAGTCATGGTGCTCACTGGATGCTGGCCAGACATGGACACAAATCTAATCACTTACTTTGCTGTAACCAAGTCTCAGTCTCTTTATCTGAAAAATAAGGATGAGGTGTGGTAATTCAATAAGGCAAGTGTGTGGTATACAGCCCATTTTCTTTGATGGTAAAAACTGTATAAAGTAATAGATCAAATTCCTGCAATGGACACCAACATAAAAGAATATATTTTGTTAAATTGCTGTCTTACAGTTGGCTAAATAATAATTACATCTTAGAAAATGATATTCTACTTTTTATATCAAATGGATAAAATTAAAAACCAACACATTCAGGAAACTTCACCTCAAAAATCACACACAAAGTACTTTAACAAACTAAAACTTTTTATTTCTTTTCTGAATAGGACCGTGAGGAAAATTTCCGTATAACCAGTGAAGATACCAATAGAAATGTTTTATGGTGGGCTTTTGCACAAATATTAATCTTTATCTCAGTTGGAATTTTTCAAATGAAGCACCTTAAAGATTTCTTCATAGCAAAGAAGCTTGTTTAAAATACTTTACGTGAAAGCAAATAATTTGTACAATGTTTGAGTTAATAAAACAAAATACATGCATAAATGTGTTTTCTGATTTAAAACATATTAGATATTGAATGGGATTCCTGGTTTTTAAAAAAATTGTTACTTTAATAATGTAGCTTCTGAATGTGGTAAAAATAAGCACATCATTTTAATTTAAACTTGATATAAATCACCAACAACCAATGAGCTACAGATGAAAGTTATCTGGTCACACATTTAAAAAGGATTTTACATTCTCATTCATTCTCTCTCTCTCTCTCTCTCTCTCTCTCTCTCTCTCTCTCTCTTTCCTCTCTCCTCTCTGCAAGCGGGCTCTTTCTTTTTTACTCTTCCCCTCACCCCCTTATCCCTATGACAACATCCCTGGCCTCAGTCCTTTAGGCCAGCGAACAGCTTCCCAATAAACCTGCCTTTATTTTTTTTTTTTTTAAAAAGGATCTTACAAAAGGATACAATTTTAACCCTGAGGAGCCAGGTGGTGGTGGTGGTGGTGCTGGCGACACCTTTAATCCCATCGCTTAGGAAGCAGAGACAGGTGGATCTCTGAGTTCGAGGCCCACTGAGTCTACAGAGTAAGTTTCCCTTTCTCACCTTATGGCATATATTTAATGTATTATCAAAATACTACCAGGCAGACCATGTGGCATGGGCCTCTACTGCTACTCCCAAGGAGGCTGAAGCAGGAGGATCCTTAGAGGCCCCAAGTAGAGACCAGACTGAAAGCAGACTGTCTTAGTCACCGTTCTATTGATATGAAGAGAAACCATGACCAAGGCAACTCTTACAAAAGAACACATTTAATTGGAAGTTTGTGTACAGTTGCACAGGTCTATTACCATCATGTTGGGGAGCATGGTGGCATGCAGGCAGGTGATGGAGCGGTACCTGAGAGTTATATCCTGATCCACAGGTGGGGCGGGAGTGGGGGACTGGATCTGACATGGGCTTTTCAAACCTCAAAGCTCATCCCTAGTGTCACACTTTCTCCAACAAAACCACACTTCCTAATCTTTATAATCCTAATAGTGGCATTCCCTATTGACTAAGCATTCAAATCCCTAGTGTCTAAGCGTTCAAATATGTGAGCTGATGGAGGCCATTCCCACACAGGCCACTTCAGAGATCCTTTCTCATAAACATGACAGTACAACACAAAGAAGCAAAACTATGTTAATTTTAATGGACACTCAATACAAAATAGATATCTTATATCTTATTATTCATGCTAACTTTGTAAACACGAATTCTATGTTATACTCACAGCATTATTTGGACCAGTAACTTTTTAAGGGCCTGATGAAACTCACAACTGCAGTACTGCACAGATCAAACACATCTTTTCCCCAAATTATTTCACTAAGAATCAGTCACCTGAATCTTTACTTTTTCCTAATTCCTTGAAAGACAGTAAACTTTTCTCATACAAGTAAATAGCCCAGGAATTTTCTCACACAGCCTCTACCAATCCACGCACACTTATGAAGTGGGGAGGAAAGAGATTCAGAATTATGTAAAAAAACAACTATTAAAAGTGATTTTAAATTTTAATTTTGAAATAATTTTAATATCACCAGAACTTAGCCCCTTCTACTATCTGTTGTTTTAAAGGGGGAATGATCTTTCCTAAATTAAACTCTTTCTTGTGAACATAGTCGAAACCAGGGATCTCTGTCCTTCCCTGTTGCACTTCTGTCCGATGTCCACATGCAATCCCTCCCAACCATTCATTGTTTACTGGGTAATTCTAGCCCCCACCTCAGCCTGCTCTATAACCCCAGCCCACCCTCACCCTCCTGGTAGTCCCTTCCTCCAACCCTGCTAGAATCTAGGTTTCAATGGTTCCCCAGTTTTCTCTCCTCTCCATTATGGTATATACAAATGTCCCTGGGCCTATCTCTACCCTGAGGCCTGATCCACCCAAACACCCTCAATGTCCCCTACCCCAGCCCAGTTTCACCAGCTGCTTTTGCAACAAACTTTTTCATGGTGGGCAAGAAGCCACTATCCCTGCCCCACACATCGCCAAGCTTTCCTCTGCCACCAAGAAGACAGCCTTTCTTTGCCTCAGTATTTTTTTTTTTTTTTTGGCCCTGGCTTCCTCCAGCGTTGGTTCTGTCGGTTTAGGCGGGAAGCCACGGCCTTGTACGCATGCGCTGGAACGAGCGCAGGCGCAAAGCTGCCTTTCTAGGCAGCGCCGGCAGTGAGAAGTGTGTTCCTACCTCAGTGCCCTCACTGGCCTCGCGCGAGTCTCACGTGGGTCCTCGGTCATGGCCAGCTGGGTGTTCTGTAATCGCTGTTTCCAGCCGCCGCACAGGAAGTCATCCTTCAGCCTGACCAGCTGCGGGCACGTGTACTGCGACTCCTGCCTTAAAGGTCTGCGTGGGCCGGGCGAGCGAAATGGGCCAGGGAGGCTCGCCGGCCGGGGCTCAGTGCGTGGGTTCCCTCCCGTGGGTGGGACCCTGCGGGAAGACGAAGCTGGAACTCTAGAAAGCCCTCTGCGTACTTGGCATCTAGTGGAAGCTAGTTTGCAGCAGTCAGTTAACCAGATGTGAATATTTTTGTTGTTGGAGTAAAGCTTCGGGGGAGGGGGAGACAGAAAGAGGGGAACATGGGTACAGAAGCAGTGGGAAGTGACTGATCTATTTAACTTGGCGGGTAAATGGACAGGTACACCACCAGCCCTCAGAAAATTCTTGTAGACTTCGGTTTCATTTTGTTGCTCAGCCTTATCGTAATTCTCTAGGAATTCACACACAGTATTTAGTGTGAGCTTTGTACAGGTAGGTGCCACATACATATGGAACTCTGCTGTGTGATCACACTCCAACTTATTCATTCATTAGTTGAACTAACGTAAATGGTTTCCAGATTTGTAAGGGGCAAATGCTGCTACTGTGAAAACTCTGGCTATGTATTTGTTGAGCACAGGTACACATGTGCAACCCGGGGTAGAGTGTCTGGGTTTCTGGTGTGTATACTCTAAGAGGAAGCCTGGTGTAAAAAGTAATCTGGAGTGAGAGAAATTCAGAAGCTGTGTAGTGGGGCTTGTGAGAAGCAATGGGAACAAGATGTAGCCCTGGGATCTGGAGAAATGATGGGTTTGGGAAAGACTGGGTAGATAGGCTTAATTCAAGGAAGCAAGGAGCCCTCTTTTGCTGGTGGATGCTGGACAGAGAACAGCCAGGGTAAGCTTGATAAGCTTATTTTAGACCAGTGATTCTCAATCTTCCTAATGCTTCAGCCCTTTAATACAGTTCCTCATGTTGTGATTCCCAACCATAAAATTATTTTTATTGCTACTTCAGAGTTAGAGTCCTGTTATGGATCATAGTGCACATATCTGTGTTTTCATATGGTCTTAGGTAATCCCCAGATGGGTCACTACCCACATGTTGAGAATTGCTACCTTAGACTTTTTCATGTGGGAGCTGTCTAGGGAGGAAAAAGGAGGTAGTCCTGAGTGGGGCTCTGGAATTAAAAGGAATCAGGAATGTTAATGGTGAGTCAGTAAGATGTAAGTAAATGCCAAATAATTAGGCAATTGGAAAATACTGCCACCTTGGGAAATGTATTTTATAGGTGATAAGTAGACAGAAGAACGATGTTGGCTAAAGAAGGAAGTAGAAGTCTTGATGACCTAGATTTTCCCCTAAGTTCAAAGAATCAGTGTTTGAAAATATCTACTGGGTCAGTGGGAGAAGTTCCCAATGACTTAAAATAACCTAAAGCTAGAACAGTAAAGATATACACCTTCATGATTTTGCAAATTGCAAAACCCCAACACTGATGTGTGTGACTAGTTTAAGGCCTTGGGTGGTACACATCCAGGTGTTTTGGGCCCTTGAATCATGAAGCCAACATAGTTTCCAGTACCCTGAAGTTATTCTTCCAAAATCACAGGTACTGCATGTTGAAAGTATATCAACCCCAGAGACACACAAAATAAGTTGGAGGAAAAGGATAGAGAGTTCTAGACAGAATCTTAACTTAGCTAACTCTCATGATCCATGTTCACACAGTCTTGTTAAACTCAGGTATGTGTTTCCAGACTTTTTCAGATAATAGAAATTTCTTAAATTTTTACTTATTTTTATATGTATGGGTGTTTTTCCTGCATGTATGTTTGTGCCCCATGTTTGTCCCAGGTATCTGCAAGGTCATTGACTCTTCTAGGACTAGAAATACAGAAGATTGTGAGCTACCATATGGATCCTGGGAATTGAACTTAGGTCCTCTAAAAGAACAACTCCTTCTTAACTGCTGAGTTGTCTCTTTAAGCCCTGATGGAAATTTCACACACACACACACACACACACACACACACACACACACACTGTGGGGGGGATGTCAAAGGACTGTCTGTAGGAGTTGTTTCTCTCCCTCCACCACATGGGTTATATGGATCGAACTCATGTCACCACACTTAGTAGCAAGTGTCTTTACCAAAGCAACACCAGTTTGCTTGCTTATGGTAGTGCAGATTTTAAAAACAAAAAATGGCATAGTATATATACTATTTAGTAAATTGTTTTTATTGCTTACTAGGGCACAGACTGCCTTCATTGTTAAAATTAGTCTGTTCTAGCCAGGCAGTAATGGAGCATGCCTTTAATCCCAGCTCTTTGGACCCATACACAAGTAGATCTCTGAGTTCTAGGCCATACTGTTTTACAGATTGAGTTCCAGGACAGCCAGGGCTACACAGAAAAACCATGTCTCAAAAAAAAAAAACAGAACAACAAAAACACAAATAAACACACACATACAATAATAATCTTTTTTTATTTCTAAGGTTGTAAATATCCTTGGGTTACTATGCCATAAGTTATTTCATTCCTTACTAAAAGACCTTTTTTTGGCTGATTGCTCATTCAAATCCTCTCTTTCAGTGCAGTATTTGTTTTTAGTTGACTTGTAAACAGGTATATATTAAATTAGGAGCCATTTTGGCAGTGAACTACAAGGGGTTTCCTTTCCGCCCTGTCTCAGTCTTCCCCAGTACAATGCTTATAGTTTATTTTTTGTTTGGTTTG